TGTTAAGTGAAGAGAATCTCAAGTTGACTGAAGGTCGGAAAAGTCAACTAAATGAGATCACTCAACTTAAAGCTGAAAATGAATCTCTCTCTGAAAAGGTGAAATCCCTTAATAAAGAGCTAGGGATACTTAAGTCCAAAGAAGCAGTGGACAAGCTTCTTGAAACGACCAAACATAAGGGTCGTGAAGGACTTGGGTTTGACCCCTCCAGTTCCAAAAGGAAAGGGAGAACAACTTTCATCCCTCCTAAACCTACTGCAAAACCAAATAAGCAGAAAGGAAAGGAAAAGGAGAAACCAACAGAAGTTCCCAAAAAGGTAGTCCCTCCTAAGAACTATAGGAAGCTGGACAAACCTCAAAAAGGAAACAATTTCAGAAGAAAACCCTCTAACCCCCACTATACACGAGGCTATACTCATTATGGGGTAGATAAGAGTTTTCCAAGAAATTCTGAGTGGAGAACTATGCTAAGATATAGTCATCCTCCACCCCAGAAGCTATTAGTGCCACCTAAGTATGCTTATAACCGACACAGGACACACTATGCACAACCTAGACAAAACTATAGGTCTTATCAACCTAGGCTTACTAGGAGGAAACAGGAAATTGCACCTCCTACACGTAGGAAGTTTTATGCCTATAACTATGATTACAATCCCAACAAGTTTAGAGCTGCAAGGAAAATTCCCTGCAACTTCAAACTTGATGTAGGGACACACACCATTAACTATTCCGGACCCAAACTTAATTGGGTACCAAAATCTTCCTCATCCTAATGCAGGAAGCCGCTAAGTACCCAGGTGTCTGGTACTTAGACAGTGGCTGTTCAAGACACATGACGGGTGATGCGAGCCTTTTGAGCAATCTAATTCCCTATGATGGTCCAAGAGTTACTTTTGGAGGAAGCAATGATTTCGGCCTCACTAAAGGGCTAGGAAATCTGGTGTACAAGGGACTAACCATCCAAGCTGTATCTTATGTAGAAGGTCTCAACTATAACCTTCTTAGCATAAGTCAGTTTTGTGATAAAGGTTACTCCCTGGAATTCTGCAAGGACATGGCATCTCTCAAAAACATCTCCACAAATGAAGTCATTCTCACTGGGAAGAGAATCAAGAACATCTATGAAGTAATGTGGGACAATGTCAAGGAAGCATGTCTAATCAGCAAAGGTGACACTAACCTTCTATGGCTTTAGCACAAGAGGTTGAGTCATCTCAACTTCAAAACTCTCAACAAGCTGTCCAAAGAAGGGCTAGTAGAAGGTCTTCCCAAAGCTGCATTCAGAAAGGAAAGCATTTGTGATGCTTGCCAAAAAGGAAAGCAAGTCAAGTCCACCTTCAAGGCAAAATCGGCACCCTCAACTACAAGGATATTAAGTCTTATTCACATTGACTTATTTGGCACTGTCACTCCAATAAGTTTAAGTGGAAAGAAATATGTCCTGGTGGTAGTTGATGATTACTCAAGATACACGTGGACAATCTTCCTCAATAGCAAGAAGGAGACTCAAGGGAAACTCACCAACTGCATGAAGCTGATTCAAAACAAAGCAAGTCAGACCATTCAGAAGATCAGATCTGACAAAGGCACAGAATTCTTGAATGAAATCATCATTCACTACTGTGAAGAAAATGGAATTCTTCATCAAACATCCGCAGCAAGGACACCTCAACAGAATGGTGTAGCTGAAAGAAGAAACAGAACCCTGAAGGAAGCAGTGAGAACCATGTTAGCAGAAGCTTCCTTACCAAAGAGGTTCTGGGCTGAAGCTGTTAACACAGCCTGCTATACTCAAAATAGGAGTATGACTTATAAGAGGCACAACAAAACTCCCTATGAACTGTGGAACGGGAGAAAGCCTAATATATCATATTTCCATATTTTTGGGAGCAAGTGCTTTGTGTTAAACAACGGGAAGAATCATCTGAACACTTTTGATGAGAAATCAGATGAGGCCATCTTCCTAGGATATTCCATGGTGAGCAAGGCATTCAGAGTCTTCAACAAAAGAACCATGATCACTGAAGAGTCAATACATGTTATTTT